GAGAGGAGAGAGCGGGACAGAAGAGCACAAAGTGAAAATAGATTAAGGGGATTATAGCAACATGTGATTTCCCACATGGTGATCTGCACGAAATTAAAGTGAGATGTGTCCATCCAGCTCTTTCACCAATAAGTGATTCTTTAATCCTCTGTCCAAGTGAGCAAGTTGTGTTTGTGAGAAGACACAGATCAAAAGCTATAGCTCAAGATAATATCACAACCTCATATTCTGCCAAAACCTTGAGGACGACACCTTTTGTCACCTGAACTTCAATTAAACATTTGCTACCACTAATAGTTATGTTTTAGTGAAATGTGTGGAGCTCCAGCTTGGGTTTGGCCCAGCCTTTTATAAAGGAAATTACATGTTTCACTTTATCTACATTGTCACAATAATACGTGTATAGAACAGTGAAAAATCATAGTCAGGGGCATCATGAATGTCTGTACACTTCATGGGAATCCATCCAATAGTTGTTGAGATATATAAGTCTGGATAAAAGGGATGGATCGACCCACGGATAGTATTGTCAATCCTGAAGCCATGCTAGTGATGAAAATGACCTGTTGTGCATTTCCCAGAAATAACGATTGCAACGTTTGACCGCTTCTTTTTTAATGGGAAATTGCCGCCAACATCTGACTGTGACTGTCGCCCACCAAAATATCTGCTGGATTGTTGGCTATGTTGACAATTGTTATTAAAACTGAATAAAAACGAAGAGGAGTTTACTTTTACTTACTTGTGTGTGTCCCCTGTCTCATATGAGGTAGAATACGCCGCCATTTTCACAAGTTTGGTGGTTCCTCCACTTCCTCCACTTAATCAAGATGGCTACCATTGAGGGTGAGAAAGTGTCTCGTGTTCCACACTTAACTTTTTGACAGTCATGAGTACACCATCCAGGTACTCATAAGTATACTGCATTTTGTCAAACAAAGCTCTCAAAATAGCAAATATAAGCAAGGAAGACTGCAAATTTATCAGTAATGTTTGTGCTCTAGGGACATCTATATTCTTGGTGTTTAGTTATAAGGTTCCACAGTGTGATATGTATCTGAACTCAAGTTTTAACATGGCAAAGGTCTATCGTCAGGTTCTTTTCTCCTGCAATGCATCGAAAATGTGAACATGTTTCAGCATCCTTACTTCAGTAAGAGTTACAGTTTCCCAAATGTTGTGCAAACAAGCCATACAGGATCACACCTGTAACCCTGCAATTCGGTTGGTCCTGAATAAGTCGACGAAAGTGGTGGTGAGAGTTCCTCTAGAAAACCTCTCATTTTCCGCAGCAGGGTCTGACAGTCTGCTACGCTCAGTCCTAGTTCTAGTTCCCCCGTGCCTCTCTTTACTCCAGCAGACCCAGCTATACGGACTGGGTCTCCAGCAGTGTAGTGTCAGGGTTGGCTCCCAGCGGGGGACCGGAGGAGCAGTTAGGCAAAGCTCTGCTCCTGGCCAGAGGAGGACACACTGCTGCTGGGCGTGGAGCTATCCAACTCCTGCTAGAGCTTCTGAGGCAGCAGATCTGGGTCTGTCTGCGGCGGGCTTGGAGAGGGAAATGCTTGTTACAAACTTGAGATGTGGAGTCTTAAAGATGTAGGTGTTCACCAGGCACGGGGGTGTCTTTTCAATAGAAACAAAATAGGATGTGTGGGATCTTTGGAGCTAGACACCATAAGAGGAACTAAAAGTCAATATATCTGCTCTGCTGCATCGATTTTATACCATTTCTGTGAGTCAACTTTATGGATGAGTAATCCAAGGGTGGTACAGGCAGAAGGTTGAGGATAGCTAGCAGATGTAAAGAGACGAGGAGAGAGAAGAGGGGGATAAAGGGTAATGAGGGATCAATGAGCTGCATGGGTAATGAAAAGACATGGAGGGGAGCAGTGGACAGGTGCTGACCATGTGTACACTGTGTAAAGGCAGTGAAATCACAAACACACACATGCTGGATCTCTGCCTCTCCCACACTCACGCTCTTGGACCAAAAGCAGCGCAGGTCTGCAGGGTCATGTGTGTGTCTGTCATTTTGAATGTTTGCATTGTGTGTACGTGGACCCCATGAGTGGCGATGCGTGACTGAGTGAGATTGAAGAGGTTCTAAATTCCTGCATTTCTATGGGGAGTCTTCTCAATTATTTACCTTCCTTGCCTCATGCTTTTATTCCGAAACGCACACACACAGACTCTTAAAAGGCCTGACACACACAATACACTCTTCAACTTCAGCTTTGGAAAAATACATGTGTGTGTGTGTGTGTGTCTGTAAAGGATGGATCTTCATTCTAGGGTCAGTGAGGATGAACCCCACCTTTAGAGGAGATGGGACAATAGGATTCATGGCCAAGACCCTCAACGCAGTCACAGGCATGCGAGGACCCTTTTTGACAGCATTCCTTAGTCCATAACACACATTTTAACCATGACAACTGCACACCCAACACCAACCCATAGCCTAATCTTGACCTAAATAAAATGTTTACCTAAAACCAAGACCAAGTCTTAACATCTCAAACTGCCTTTTGAAGAAGCAAAATCTGGACCAAAATCAACTAATTTCATTGGGCACGGCACACTGGGATCGCTTGTGGATCTACAGTACATCATTGTATCTTATTTTGAATACAATTTTGGTAATATTTGACACCTAAATTTGCCCTGTTGACCAATTGCAATCTGCTTTGAAGCAGCTGAAAACCGAAAACAACGGAGCCCAAAATAGTGGAGGACATCTTTTGGACTCTTATTACACCATCCAGTTATCACGATCTCTTGTAATTATACACCATTTGACAAAAGAGAGGAGTCATGGTTTGCAGGTCAGTCATGAGACAGGAAGTGATGGTACAAATAGGTTTACTTTGTTGATTTACAGAGAATCACTAACTACTTTATGGTCTATATGCACTAGACACACACTCTTAAGTTTACAGTCAGGCCAAAAGCATTACTACTGCTTGGCTGAAACGCATTTAAACCTCTCCATTTTCTTCTTCTTTTGCACTTTTTTATGTGTTTTTATGGTCAAAAATAAACTGCCCTGGTTCCAAGAGAACATTTGACTGTATCATAGTGCATGTTGACCCACTAAATTCACACGAACATATTAAGCTGGTCGAATAAACAAGCAGCTTTAAAAACATACAATTTGGTCTGAAAAGAAAAGTGCAGGCGGCACAGAGTGAAAGAGACTACGAGTGTGTGGACATGCTAGCAGCTCTGTAAAGGCTGGGCTAGCTGACATCAGCTTGCTAACTTGTCCACAATGACAAATCATACATGCTTAATATTCCGGTGGTATAGATCTAGCCCAATGTTACTATCTATAATGAACTATATTAGTTTAGTGTATGAGTGCGCTGAATATCACTAAATGGCAAAAGAGGGAATATCACAAATTTAACATGCACAACCACGGGACACATTATAAGTTTGACTTGATGATGGTGTTAGAAAACACCAATTTCAAAGGATAGTTATCATAATCCATAATCCTGATGTGGCTCATAAATGTCTGTGCTGATTTGCATGTCAATTTATCCAATAGCTGTCCAGAAATGTCACTTAAAACCACAAATGTCAACCTCAAAGTGTGCTGGTGGAAAAGATATTTAAGTCTGGACTAAAGTGGTGGAACAACTGACCGACCAACAGACTGGCGTTGCTATTCCAACAGCCATACTGCTGGCTAAAAATAAGATAGGAAAGAAGATAACTGTATTCTTATCATGATAATTAACAAAACGAGAGAGCTGATGATTGCACTAGATACCAAATCTACAATACAGCAACATTTTCTATGCAGCATTCCTCACTTATTCAAAGTCCAAAAACATCTTCCTCCTTATTCTGGGCCCTTTTAACACTTTTCTCTGAGGTTGAAAGGTAAAATCTTCATCCCAGTTAGAGGTTGTGTGCAGACTGAAAGTATAGCGGTGTTTGGACATCATTCTGTCAAACCTGAGCATCCTCCCAAACACTGTCACTGGGAAGCATTTCCACAGTATCCTCTTTGGTGTCATACTCAAAAGAATTCAAAAGTAATACATACTTTTCTTCTTGCATATTTCTCAAAGCCAGAGTATTTTTCAAACACAGCCCAATTAACAGCCCTGACCCCCCCCCCAATTTACTGTAGAGCAGTAAATTTAAAGATAACTTATGGATTTAACAGCCAAAACATCATAACAGATTAATAGCTCTTCGACATTTTTTTCCCCATTAGTCGTGCGTTGGATCACTTTGTATGTAAAAATGTGTTTATGTAAAACTACAAGGCACAAGCAAATATATATTTTTCAATAAAAACGATCCTAACTGAATATGTATGCTGGAGTGAGGTCACACAAGAGTATAAATAGTTATACGACCAAAAATACAAAACAATATCATCAATTTGATCATTGAATATTTTTATCATATTCAATTAATTTTCCATGATATAATATATATTTACAAGTGTTTATTGTGATACAAATTGTAACCCAATTACCTAAGAAATTAGTACAGAAATATTCAACTAATTTGTTCAAATATGTCCATTTATACTCTCATATGGATTGTAGCAGCACGCTAAAATAGTTTCTGATAGCTGCAGCTTACTATCTTCAAAATTATATCATCTCTAGAGGAAATTCTGCTTCCCACAACATAGTCACTGCCAAACATCAGGGATCAAAATCAGGGATTTGTCATCTTGTGAATGTCGTTGGCTCAGCTGTTCACCTTCTAGTAACACAACATGTAATTGGTAAGGAGAGTCAAGGAAGTTTCTTAAAACAGAGGTTACAAAATGCTTCACATGGTTTATATAAAGACAAGAATATGAGGAAATAGACAATAATGAATTAAACACAAGGTACATGTGCTGATTTACAGAACCCGTATTGCTCATAGGCATTTATGGCTTATTTCCTTATATATTCATGTGGTTAGCTTCAGGGAGGAGGGGAAGTACAGTTGCTGCTTGAAATTGAAAGTAAAAGTGTGGCTGTCAGTTCTGCCATGAAGGACGAAAGAACAGTCAACGAGGTCTGCATTATAGACGGCTGAGTGAAAAACAAATGGCTGAAGGATTTTAACGTCACCTGAACTAGTAAGATTGATTCAGTCTGTGTACTTAATCATGTAATGTGTGTCTATTATTGAGTAACTTGCTTTCATGTTGGTTTGCATGTTTCTTTAGATAGGACAGCTGTGTGGCCTACATGGTCACATGCGTGCATACGAATTGCACATCTCTTTACATACTGGAACATATTGCTGACGATCGCCTGATGACTTCTGAGAATGTGCTCCCATTCCTTTGTGTTTACCTTTGTGATGCTTATTTCCGGTGTACTTTATAATTTATAATCTACCATGTTCATCTGTAGGAAAGCTTAGTATTAAGGAAGGGCTGGAGATTTTGCTATATAGGTATCACGTGCCTTGCTCACTATCTCTGTCAAGTTAAACTAGTTTAGTTTTATACAAGCCTTAGGGGTAATGTTTGACAGGCATTTCATCTTTAATCTTTATCACACCATATCACCGTATCAAGCTACACATCAAGGTCAAAGTTAACGTATTATGTTATTAATCATTAACTGACTTTTTCCTCCCACAATAACAGTGGAGAAAGTCATGAAAGGTCTACTCTTTAGACCTTGATCAGGTTTTGTTGATGTAAGTCAGTGTAACTGTAATAATTTCTCTGCTTTTCAAGGGAATTCTGCTCCTGTTGGTGACTGGATTTAAAGGTGAAAGTTATTTTTGTCCAGTGTTGGTGAAACTGAATCTATTTGAATGAAGGTCCAGTAATGAGTGGATCTGTGGACCGAGAGGACCTTGAGAGTGTGGAGAGAGACTGTGTGCTCTAGAGAAGGTGATGGACATACTTTTTGTCAATATAGAGAACAATAATGGAATTCTGTAACAAAGGAACAAAATATAACTGCTGTATTTATTACAGAGCAGAAAACAGGTAAAACTGCCTGTAAAACCAACATGTCTCAGGAACAGGCCGATGCCTTGTCAACTGACACGTAAGTAACTTTTAATTCTTAATTGGCTCACCTCACACAGGATGGGAAAGTGTAACGTATGTCAGCCTCTGTCAGCACTGCGCAGCTCCTTCACTGACTGGCTGCTTCACCCGGTGTGTGAAGGAGTGATACCGCAGGTCCTTCCTTCCTGCCGCTGTCAGACTGCACAACCAACACTGCTCCCAGTAGACCACACATACCAAAAACTGACAATTCCTCATTCATTTATTAATTCATGTGCAATATAAATCCAATGTATACACTGTGCAATATAATTAATCTGTTCAATCCACTGGGCAATATTAAAAACCATTCAGTCCGAATATATCATACTTTAGTTTTATTGTTTTTTTAAATTGTTTTTCACATATTTATTATATATTACATTTACTGTGTGATTACGTATTTATTATACTTGTTTTTCTACTTATGCCTCTTGTTTGTTAATTTGCACTATCCGCTATCCTGCTGTAATCCTGCAAATTTCCCCGCTGTGGGACTAATAAAGGATTATATTATCTTATCCTAAATATGTGGTGATTCCATCCACCTCTGTTGTTGTTGACACAGTCAAAGTTGGGTCTTAAATTAATTTAACCTCCCATGTAAAGACTGATATTAAACTTATTACTCCTCATCTGTGTGCATAGATCCACTGATAGCAGCAATACCATTAAGAATTGCTCTGAAATGTTGCTGTTTAAAATGCTGGTGTGCCTGGGCGTTAAAATCGTTTAATTGTAATCATAATCTGTGTTAATAAGCTTACGCTTAATAGTTTTTCGAAGTTAACCAACCCTCGTTTTAAATTATCTTTATTTGATATTCAGAGCATTAATAAAGCAACTATTTGTTATGTAAAGA